AATGATGCTGAAAATTCAGCTTTGCATCACGGGAATAAACAATATTTTAATGTATATTAAAATAGAAAAACGTTATTTTACATCATAATAATAGTTCACATTATTACATTTTTTCCTGTATTTTTGACCAAATAAATGCAGCCTTGATGAGCATAAGAAACTCCTGTAAAAAACATAAAAAATCGTTCTGATCCCAAACTTTTGACCGGTAGTGTACATATATATATATATATTGATTTATTAATATATTAGAAGTTATACATTCTAGTTTACATTTTTAAATATTTAGATTTACAATGATATAATCAAGACATCTCAATTGACATCTGTATATTTGAATTCTACTGAAACAACTGAGATTTTTAACTAAAAATTCAGGATTTATATTTATACATTCAGAATTATGAACATGAGTTCAGATACTGACTGGGTAATATAATGTTGGACCAAAGCTAATTTCTTATATTATGGCGCTTTTCCACTGCGTGGTACGTCTTGGCTCGGCACGGCTCAGAACGGTACGGCACGGTTCGGCTCGGTTTGCGTTTCCACTGCAGTTCAGTACCGCTTTAGAGTGGGCGGGATTATTCACATGTCGTTAAAGTTGCGCCGCCTCTATTGCCGTGACTCCTGAAAAATGTTTTCATTCCGCGTCGCCCCATCAAGCTCTCGCTGGATCCGCTCCTCTGCTATCAACGAGAGGAACGTCTGTACTTCCGTGAACTGTACCGAGCCGTACTGTGCCGTACCATGCAGTGGAAAAGCGCCATTAGACTTAGAAGGAGCACAGGCTTCCTACCTTCTTCAGTACACTGTCAGATTCTGTCCTCCGAAGATCTTCAGCTTCCTCTTTGTCGCCATCTACAGACACACAAACACAATGACTGTGAGCAGGATCGAATCAGTAACTGTGCTTCATATACAGATTTATGAAGTTTTCTGAATGAAAAATAGAAAAAAAATGTTTTAGTCATTTTGTAACTTGTATTATATAAAATTGGTTTGCAACCATCAGCTACACTGCCTGATCTGAAGAATTAAAGTTATTATGATGAGTAGATTAAAGGAACACTCCACTATTTTTTAAAATAGGCTCATTTTCCAAACACGCACGTCACTAACCGCATTACATTAAGTGAGTTACTAGTCCTGGAAGAACATTAGAACTGGAAATGAGATGTTGCCACAGCTGCCAACAGACACAAATAACTCATAAATAACACATCAGCTTTCAGACAACAGGTGGGGAGCAGCTGAAGACGCTGGTGGCATTTCTTACCCTCTCTGAGAGCGTCCATCATGATGGGTTCCCCCTTGGGGACGTCCTTGTTGTTGGCCCTGAAGAGCATTTTGACCGCCAAAGCCGTGTCGTCGGACGAACCGCACATTTCACGGAAAAGCTTCATCTTCTCCAGCAGGAGTGAAACGATCTGTTCATCCTTCCTCTGGAGCATGGGATAGTGCTGGGGACTATTTTTTCATTTTTTATATTTTTACTTTTCATTTTCCGTCGGTCTTAGTACACAATGTAACTACAGAACAGGAGTGAAACGATCTGTTCATCCTTCCTCTGGAGCATGTCTAAGACACACAGGAGGTCTTGTTATTTGCACATTTATAATAATTAGGGTCTTAAGCATCAGCATTTTTATAACCAATATACAGAAAGAAAGATTATAAGATTATATATATATATATTATATACGTATATTATATATAGAAAGATTAAAAATTGATAAAACAAATGATCTTGCATTGTCCTTGCTGACCGCATGCAACAAACAGTACAAAGTGATTCATAAGCAAATGACTCTTCTGAAGCGGCTAATGTTAATGAAATGGTCAAAAGGCTTACAAATCAGACTCAAACTCCTGAGTTACTATTTAATGTGGCTTTAATGCTAGTAAAATAAAAAATAACAAACATTAAAATAAGTTATCAAAATGTGTTTAGTAGTGTGTGTGTGTGTGTATATATATATATATACACTAAACCAAAACAATTGTGATTATTTATTTATTCCATATATAAGAAATATATATTACTTTAATTGGAATAATTTGGGAAAAAAAATACATAAACTATGAAAAATGGGCAAAGAGCTAAAGTAGCAGAGAGAAAGCTGCTCACCTCTCATTTCTTTTGTTTTTGTTTCGAGTAGCTTCCTGTCTTCCTCTGTTTCACTGGGGATCCCCTCATCATCATCCTTTTCTCTGTGAACACACGAGGCAAAAAAAAAACATTTCAATTTATACATTTCCTGGTCTTTTCTGAACAATACTATCCAACTACCCTTGCAATTTTACATTTTTTAATTTAAAAATTAAATATTCAAAATTAGTCATTAAAAATTTTTTATCATTTTTTAATCTCTACTGTTTTAAGAGAATTTATTTTAAAACTATCACCAAAGCAAAAAATATTTTTTAAATCAGTATTATTTTTTTGTCTTTTGGTAAAATATCTAAATATCCATAAATCACGATGATCAAGATGACTGAAGAAGAAAAAATAACCTAATAAGACTATATTAAGACAACTGTTTCACAGAATATATCTTAATTTAACGAGGTTCATGCTTTAAATGAGAAAAAAGTTTGCTAATGAATTGTTAGATTAATGCTTGGCACAAGAAAAAAAATTGCATTAGAGCAAAAAAAAAAGTCTCTGACTATTTCATGCAATTTTGCTTCTCAATCTTGTTTTTAAGCTTACATTATAGATAGTGAATATCTGGTACTCACATTGAGTGCATGGCGTCCTGAATGAGCTGCATCCAGGTGTTGCGTTCCTCTCGGGAACTGGCGTGAACCTCCACCATTTCGGGGTTTGCGATGCCGGCGGTGATGAGGAAGAGGCCGCGCTCCTCGTGGGCCACCTCTCGCACGATCAGCTTCTGCAGGGAGATAACAGTGGCTCGCTGGTCCTGTTGATGAGAAGAGGAAGCGTGATGCACAGAATGAGGAGGGCGGAGTGAAGGCCAAAGAATATGCAGAGAGAGGAAGAGAGGAAGAGAGGAAACAGAGGAGGAGATCAAAAAATCAGCTGACTGAACTGAACATCAACACTCTAGTGTAAAATGTGTCAGTGTATTCAGTCATCCGTTGTGTTTGCTAACTTGAAAAAGTCTCTAAACCCAAGTATTTAACTTAATGTAGCATTTGTGTTATGGATATCTAATTTAATCTAATCGTGTGCCTTGATGAGGAGGCCAGCTTTTCCTGTTATATTCCCATGATAAATTTTCCATTACACTATTTCTTCAGAAATTAAGTCAGATTAGATATGTATTCATTGCCAAAGCTTAGGTCCATTTAGGAAGTTAATAATCAAAAATAACAGTGGATGATACTTTTGTTCTGACTGTATCATAGAGTGAGAAATTTCTGGGGTTTTTTTTTTTTGTAAAAACATCATGAACGAAGAATGCCATGAAGAATCATAATAGAAGGGCATTATTTAAAAAAATCTTAGCACTTTATAATAAGGTATCATTTGATAACATTAGTTAACTAAGAATGAACAGTACTTCCACAACATTTATTAATCTTAGGTCAGGTAAATTTCAACATAATTTCAATATATACTAATACATTTTTAAATACATTGTCAGTATGACACATAAAAAAAACGTAACTTTAAACTGATATCTCATAAAAAAAGATAGCACTGAAATCCAATCACTCACCAGAGACGCAAAAACATATTTCTGGTCTTTTTCTTGGAGGAACACAAAGACATCCGAAAGAAGAAGTGCATGGACATCTAAAGATTAAAAAAAAACAGTAAACATTACATTCCAAAACATTACATTTTTATATTTAGAAGAACAACTAATAATGTAATACTATATACGTGGAAAAATGCAATATTTTGTATGTACCTTTAAAGGCAGGGTATGTGATTTTTCAAAAACACTTTAGAAAACTGATTCGGGCCGAATATTTAATCTTATAACTTAGTGGAAATAAAATAAAAATGAACCCTAACCCTAAAATAAAATAAAAAATTGAAGTAAATTAAAGTAACGTAAAGTAAAATATAATAAAATAATTAACATTGGTGACTTTGTCCTCTGTGATTAAAATTATAATTCAGTATTAACTTTCTGTTGCTTTAATTACTGACTGCTAGCTAAATGGTTTATTCACCTTTTCCTTCAAAAAGTGAAAAATTTCATTACAATCACACATCATTACTGACACTCACTCTCAAAAACCTCACTTGGAGGCTGATTTCAGCACATGGGATCTTTAAGACATTTAATTTTTTTAGAAATGGAAGAATCACCCATTTATAAAAGTTGTAAGAGGTGGACAGTTTTCTCTTCTATCCACTGCTGAAGAAATAAGATCTATCAAGATTTACGGTAAGAAGAGTAGAGAGTTTTACCCTTCAGTCGTCCGGCAGCGTTTTTCAGCTGGAGAGGACCGTCATGGAGAAGCCTGCGACTGCGCAGCAGATCCTCTCGGGCGAACATCTGGCCGCTCTTCATGCGCGTGATGGACTTGCTGTCCGTACGGCCGTAAATGTCTTTCAACCTTTTCTTCTTCTCATGCTCATTCACTTTACTGTCCACTGAAGCAATGATATCTTTCACCAGCTGTAGTGCCTGCGTCAAGTCCTCAAAATCCTTCTCGTTCTCTGCACAAGCACACACACAGGTTTATACGAAATTCAGTTGTAATAAATTCCTATAAACAATAAACCAGTCCATTTTGTTTCATTATAGTATTAGAGTGGCAGAATCAAATCCTCTTGAGAGCTATAAGCTCCTTCTTAAATTGCCCCTGAAAGGATATTTGTTATACTTGACACTCTAATTCACTTTAAAATCTCTTTGTTGGGAACGTGACCAAAAAGCCTTTCAGACTGGCTGTGCAACAGTTGGAAGTGATTTGCGGTAAATGTGGAATGTTTACATGCTGCGTCTCATGTGTGCAGAAGAGGGCCCATCCATGTTTACTGAGAGTGAAATATTGGAGCGCTATTTAAACACTGACGAGACCTTCGAAAGTGGCCAGTGATGACCCAATCTATCAAATACAGTACCTGCAAAAAAAATTTTGCATTTTCTTTTTAAAAATTGACACTATTGTGAATGATTATTACAATTTTAAATAATTGTTTTCTATTTTAATATTAAAATATTACAGTTTTATATTTAGAAGAACAAATAAATAAGCAAAAAATATTTCTGTAGACGTGAGCAATGTTTTGTATATACCTTTGATGGAAATTTGTAATTTATTCTTATGACTTGGTAGTAAAAATTAAATAATAAAAATAAAATAAAAATTTTTACATGAGTGGTTTTACCCGCTCTTATAATTTATTTTTAAATGTGATTATAAATATTTATTTTAAAATGTAATTTATTCCTGTGAAGCAAAGCTGAATTTTCAGCATCATTACTCCAGTCTTCAGTGTCACACGATCCTTCAGAAATCTTTCTAATATGCTGATTTAGTGCTCGAGAAACATTTTCGATTATTATCAATGTTGAAAACAGTTTCTTTGTTTAACAGAACGCTCAAAATAATAGCATTTATTTGATTCTGAAATCTTTTGTAAGATTATAAATGTCTTTACGGTCACTTTTGATCAATTTAATGCATCATTGCTGAATAAAATAATTTCATTTAAAAAAAAAAAAATCTAACCTACCCCAAACTTTTGAATGGTAGTGTAAACTTTTTTTTTTTTTGGTTTATTTATTGAACAACTATTGGGAATGAGGGGTGAATGGGACTGGATCACATGGGTCACAAAGTGAATTAGAGCTCCCACAAAATATGCATTTTCTGCTAGAATAACAATTTAGCCCAAACACTACTGCTAAGAATTGACTGATTGACTTCTTAAAAAAAAAAAAGATTTAAGACTAAATTGCTTTGTGGTCGCCTTCATACCAGACCAGAAAATGCTAGAACCCCTGACAGCTCATGACTGAAACCAATCAGAGTAAATCTCACCTTTGGTGTGCAGCAGGATTCGCTGTAAAAGCACCGGGTACTTCGTTATCCTCTGAGTCACCAGTAGTATGCACTCTGGGATGCCCAAACGCCGGACAACACTGCTGCTCATTTTTTTCTGGAAACAAGAGCACATTGAGGACTGTTAGGTATCTCTGTGCATTTAATGGGAAGAACGAGCAACATAATAAAGTGCAGCATTTACTCTGATGAATGCCTGGAAGCGTCTGTCTCTGGAATGCAGCTCCTTGTAGAAGTTCACTGCTTCACTGTGTCGATTGCAAAATTTGCCATAGATTTTCTTCATGCTTTCTGCATTGGAGTCTGAGAACTGAAGCACATCATGTGGCATATATCAATACAGGAGCTAGGATATGAACAAGGAATCTGCTGTCTAAGTCAAGTTGACATCTGCACGTCATAATCACCAAGACGCCTTTATATGCTAATAAGTTATCATTTAATGCAATGCAATGCAACATTACTACTCACAAAGGAGTAATGTAATAGAGCAGCGATTCCCAAAGTTTTTTTTTTTTCAGCCAAACCCCTTTGATCTAAAATATTTACTCGAAGTATCCTCTCAGATTTTAAGTTAACATTTTAATAATTTAACGACACATTTGCACATTCCCAGTTCTTTGATGTTGGTTAATGGTCATGATGGTAAGCAGATAAAATATTGAATCTGTTAAAAAAATAAAAATATTTGTATTTTATAATAAATATTTTTATTATGCATGAACTATTTATTATTTTTACATTACATTTTTAGGATGTAATAAATTTTTAATAAGGAATTTAATAAGGAACTGAGAAACGCTGTAAAATAATAAATAAATATTTTTCGTTTTCATACATTAAACTTGCCATAATAACGTCTGCAATTTCTACTAAGTTGTATGAGTTTTCAGAGTTTCAACTCCATTAGTAAGCAAACTGAAGTGCAATGAACATATCACTGCGGGATATAAATATTGGACCATTTTTACTTTTAAGGCAGCAAGTAACTTAAATATAAAAAAAAGTAAACTTAAATATAAAATTTTAGACATTTAAATTTTCTATATTGTTTACTATATATAATATATATAGCAATATAGGATAGTATAACAGTGTCATACAGAACAGTATATCATCTAAAATAGTATAGTGAGGTGCTTCAAAACTGGTTTTGCTACAGAATCCAAGTTTTACATTTAAGTGGCAACCCAACACAGTATACTGTACACAAGTACACAAATAAACAAAGTCCTTAAATTGAAACACAGAAACGTATTAATATATATAATCAAAGGTCCTCACCAGGCTGAACAGATGCATTTATATATATATATATATATATATATATATATATAAAATCAAACATCCTCACCTGGCTGAGCAGCACATCTCCTATCCTGTTGATTATGAATCCGTCCGTTCCTTCCAGCTTGGCTTCTTTCTTCCTCTCCAGCAGAGCGTTGAAGAAGAACGAATGGAGTTCCAGGAGCTCGTCCAGCATGGGGAACATCTTCTCCACCATCTGGACCTCCAGCTGCAGATCTGTCAGCACGCCCTTACAGTACACATCAGACATGATCCGTAACGTCCGCAGGTGATGCATCTCCGTCTGGATCAGCTCTGGATTGATAAAGGAACAGGATGTTTAGATCCAGACATCTGGAAGAGCAGCAGTTAGCATGCTTATTGCTTTTGGGCCAGTGAATGGAGATATAGACTCTTTGAAAAGAAAGAGATTCCCATGTGTAAGTTGCCAACTACTTCTGAACTATTATCTTCAACTGTAAACATCTACTTTAAATGAACCGAAGTTTGTTTTTTGTTACTTTTTACCTATTGTTAATCAGAGGAACTAAGAGCAACTACACTGTATTAGCAACCAGCTTTAGGACGTTAGGTAATAAACTTATGGAAATGTTTCATTAAGTCCAAAAGAATTATGATTTATGCTTGTGGATCAAAGTTCAACAAGCTATCATACTGAAGTTACAGTTAGTGTCAATATTGTAATATTATACAATATTGAAGTTCAATTGTATTATTTTGCCAGACTTTTCAACTAATCAATTTAACTTTGTTTAACTTTTATATTTAGATGCAACCTTTAAAATAGAGTTTGTCTGACAAAATGAAAGTTGGATGATTAAACACTGAGGTGAACACTTTCACATGCAAAAAAAAAAAGGAGTGCAGCAGTGCTATTTTAGTATCAGATACTATTATAGTTTATTATTTTGAATAACTTTAAGTTTTTACTTTAAATTTAAGTTTGAGTAATTTTGTTGTTTTTTATTGGTTATTGTTTTTATCTTCGATCATCAAGTTAAACTAAATGAAAATGATAAATGTTGCTTAAATTGGCAACTAGCTGAAATAAAATAAGCTTAAGCTTTTTTATATTTTATTTCAGTTAATTTTTTGCGGTTTTAGCTAACTATAATAACCCTGGTTAGCATTTTGCATTAATTTTTTTTGTCAGATTTAGTGAATAAAAACTCCCAGAACAGCAAATGCTTATAAACAAAGAAATGGAAAGGCATTCAATTCTACCATAGATGACGTCTTGTCTCTTAATGGCGTCCTTCTTGAGTTGCTTCAGATATTTCTTATCTACAGTAATGCTCCAGGAGTCAGCCTCCAGTTCCTTAACATCTGCTTCAAACTCTCCCATCAGCCGGCTGTCAACCATCACAGTTCCTATCAGGGATGCAACAATACAGTTAGCCCATGGTTCAATAAATATCTCGGTTTTTTAACCACGGTTTCTGGTTCGGTTTGGATTTTTTTAGTGTTTTTTTGTTATTCTATGCTTAGGCGACAGGAGCAGTAAGAGGTTAAAGAGAAAAAAAAAATTTTTTATTGCAATGCTCTTTCTTTATTTTACTTTCTTTAATAAAATTCCACTTGTAGTGTACTGTATAATATAAATACAATAAATAGACGGTAGTAGGCACTGATCTTAATTTTTCATGGCCAATTCCAATTGACAATTTTTTTATTTTTATGTTTTTTTTTTTATTGATTTTGTTTATTTATTTATTTATTTAAGAAAGATTCAAGAAAGACTGAAAATAGGAGTAGCTCTGTTACAGGCCATCTGTAAAAATTATAAAATAAAACTAGAGGCGACCATGGCATTTTAATCACGATCCAAACAAAGATGCTACACACATTTAGCATGAGCACATTTTGATTTAAATTAGATTGAATAATTTCAAAATCTGAAGCAAAAACAGAATTGTCTGACTTTAGCTTTGTGAAACTATGCTAAATAAAACAATTGAACGAAACAAAACGGAGACAGACTGAATGAGATGCAAATTCACTCTCTGACCGCAAGTGGCGCTTATGGAGCAGCAGTTATACAGTGTTTCCTTGGTTGTCGCTGTTAACAAAGCAGCGCAGCGCAGCGCTTATAAACACTACTTTAATATGCCTTATATAGAGATGAGATGAAAAGAAAATACAATTTAAACTTTTCTGAAGACTTAGAAATACATTTATATAAACCCAATTCAATATTTAGGATTTTCTTCCAATATTTCGTGCATCATGAGCAGTGAGGTAGCTCAATCTGCTACAGTATTTTCTCCTCTTTGCGTTCGTCTTCAGCGTCTCTGGTCTCTGTTAACAGTCGTTTACAGACCTCGTAACATTTCCAAACAAATTACATTTTGGGAAATGATCACAATGCAGTTTGTGCAAGTCAGAGATCGGCCAAAATAAAACAAAAAAGAAATAAAACGCACAGAAATTATTTAAACGCAAAACCGAAAAAATACGCAATTCACAAGCACGTATTGAATCGTGGATGTCGTACCGAACGGTTCAATATTATATCGAGAATTGTGGCATCCCTAGTTCCTATAGCGACAACGAAATTTTTATTCATACATTACTAGAAAAACCTGTGTGAATAATAATAATAAAAGAAACATTTACACAACTTTAAAAAGCCATTTCATTAATAGTGAAAGTGAGGAATGACAGGAAATAACTGAGTGGAAAAGAAAAGGACAAAACACAGGCTAGATTCAAAACGAGCACCACACACACGCACAAACCATGAAGCCACAGCTCTGACAATTAATTACTTGTTCACTCTCCCCTAAAAGATCTCAGCTTGAAAGCAAGAAATTGCATCTGGTATTATACTGGGAAAAAAATATGGCTGCTTACCTTCATCTAGAGACTCATTGGACGCTGTAACCTTGTTGGGTTTGTGGAGAGAGTCTGTGGATTGAGACAGATACCGCATGCCTCTCAGAGGCACATCGTCAAACCTGCAGGAAGAGGATGAGGTGGTGTGGTTAGGACAGAAGGCCAGTAAGGTCAAGTGCCCTAAAGACAGATTCACTGAAGATTCTGTTCATTTGTATGTTGGGGAATGGCATACTACCACACTACTCCTGCTAAGAATGCAGCACTCATGCTGTGCACTGCATGAAAACTGTCTATATGCACTGAACACCTATATAACCTATTATATTTGTCCAAATGTGTAGAATATTAAGGACACTGTGCTTCATTCCGTATCCCACAATGGAATAAGCTTGACTTGATCTTTTTATTAGGAATATAATGTCTACTTAGTGGCTTAATTGATTGAACTCCAATAAGTTAGGAAGTTTCAACCCAAACTTCAGTTCTGTTACACTTCAGTTTGGCGACCAATTCTCACTATTAAATAACTATTAACTCTATGACTTTTGCCTCAAACTCCTGGTTACTGCTTATTAATAGTTAGTAAGGTAGTTGTTGAGTTTAGGTATTGGGTAGGATTAGGGATGTAGAATATGGTCATGCAGAATATGTGCTTTATATGTACTAATAAACAGCCAATATGCTAGTAATATGCATGCTACTAAGCAACTGGTTAATAGTCAGAATTGGTCCCCAAACCGAAGTAATGTAGCATGTTAATGATAATTTATTATACTGTACAGTTTCACACGCATCTTTTCTAAATAGTTGGCAGGAAACAGTATATTCTGTGCAGTGTTAATTTAGTATCATTATATACTATTATAGTATTTATTTAGATTCTGAATTAGCATTTATTTTTAGTTTTATATTTTCATTATTTTCATTTTTTTTTTTTATATTTTGAGTAATTTTAGTTAAGTTTAGTTTAGTTTTAGTTAAGTTTGAGTCATTATACTTAATATTTTAATTAGTTGCCAAGACAACATTTCTTAAAAACATAAATACATATTACTTTTTTATTTCACCTATATTTAACTAGATTTATTTCAAATAGAACGATTTTTAATAGTTGTAGTTTGAGTTAACGATTACGAATATATTCAGTAACTACATTCTCAGTTAAAACCGGAGAATACATGTTGGTATAAGTATTTAGGCACTAACATTGGAATATTGTTGATGGACATGCTTTTCGAGAGGTTGCTGCTGTGGAAGGGCATAATACTGGTGGGTCGTCTGGACGGGACAATCACAGAATGTTCCTCTGGAGAAAAGATAGCAGACCAGGGCCGTTCCCGCATTGTGGACGCTACACAAAAAAATTTAATAAAAATAACAATTCACATGCAACATTAAGATCAGCTGACATAAAAAAAAAAATAAGACTATACAAAGAGAAACAAAACCAACAAACCCACATTTTGTTCGTAGAGTGACGGTAGGCATATTGGTGGACTCTGGTACAGCAAACTGTTGTTTATGAAACAGAAAAAAGAAGAAGACAATGCAAACACCTTTCTTGACACGTAACTGAAAGAATATGGTACATTTTAGAATAAAAAACTCATTCTGCTACTCATTCATACCTTCATTCTGCTTTTGGGACAAACTGGGATGTTTTCTCTACAACTCTTGTGAACTCTCACATTGCAATCTGCATAAAAACACGTCAATAGAAAATAGAAAAGTACTCATTTGCAATTCACTACTTTGATAAAGATGCTATATTGCAGATGCATAGACACAGCTTTTTCTCTTTGCAGATTTCACCTCTATGACCAAACACAAGGGTTTGCTGTAGTTGGAAGTCCTTGTGTTTGCTATTCTGGCTCATGGTCAAAGTGGTAAAGACAGTTGGGCTTAGGCTTAGGAATTCCTTCCAGTCAGGAAACTCCACCAAGCACACAAATTAAATCCCACGAACATGCCAGCAAGCTCTAGAAACACACTTCTGTCTTAAAGAGCAAGAATCTAACCATAAGTCTTCAGATGCTTCCTGGAGAAAATACAGTATTCATAAACAGAACAACACTTTCAAACCCCATGAGAGAACTAATTATATGTGATCAGAATTAACTAAACAGTATATTTTCCTTATTTATTATTTATACTTGTCATAAAAATATATTAATAGAAAAGTACTCATTTGCAATTCACTACTTTGATAAAGATGCTATATTGCAGATGCATAGACACAGCTTTTTCTCTTTGCAGATTTCACCTCTATGACCAAACACAAGGGTTTGCTGTAGTTGGAAGTCCTTGTGTTTGCTATTCTGGCTCATGGTCAAAGTGGTAAAGACAGTTGGGCTTAGGCTTAGGAATTCCTTCCAGTCAGGAAACTCCACCAAGCACACAAATTAAATCCCACGAACATGCCAGCAAGCTCTAGAAACACACTTCTGTCTTAAAGAGCAAGAATCTAACCATAAGTCTTCAGATGCTTCCTGGAGAAAATACAGTATTCATAAACAGAACAACACTTTCAAACCCCATGAGAGAACTAATTATATGTGATCAGAATTAACTAAACAGTATATTTTCCTTATTTATTATTTATACTTGTCATAAAAATATATTAAAAGAATTGCCTTTACTGTATATTATATTATTTTCTTATTTTCAATTATTATAATTTTTTTATTTATTGCATTATTTATTATTTTTATATAGATATATTGGTTGGTCTATAAGGCTATGGACAGATGCTAAAATAAATTCAATAAGAACTTACAGGACATTTATACACGTAAATATGAATATGCGATTAAAATATGAAACAAACAAAGAGGGGGAAAATGACTAAAACAATAGAACAAAGACTTCTCCCTGAATGAATAAGATTTTCTCTTCAGCAGCTCCATGAGGAAGTGAATGATGTTACCAGAACTGCTTCCTATTTTTAAGCAATGAGTCTTTTGAAATACATGACACAATAGTTCAGACATCTTTAAAACCCCCTTCACTTAGAAAAATGTTTTTCTATTCTACTTTCATACTAATTAGCAAAACATAATTTGTATTACATATGTGTCCTGCACATACTATACATGATTCTGCTATTTTTCCTATTTGTGACCCTGGAGCACAAAACCAGTTTTAAGTCGCATAAAGTACTGGCCCTTTAAAAGGGTAAAATGCTGAGCTAACAGTAAAGAATGAAACATTACCATGCCTCCACTTCCTGTCTTATTTCCTCTAATGCTCAGAAAGAACCTGACACCATTTACTTCTTCATTCATTTTAGTACTATGGTCAATTCCTGTCTTCAGTTGACTGACTGGGTGATAATTTACACCCAGTCATCAGTAAGAATGAAACAGATGATCTAATCTACATTTTTGGTAGAGAGGAAATAACTTGACTACAAAAGTTGACTTACTCTGGCTTTCTTGTACATTTTGTTCTTCAAGTAGCTGAACGTCCGGCTCACTTTGGTGGTACTTTTTTCAAACATGCATTACTCTGCTTCCAGTGTTTCCAGAAATGCCAAAATGAAATGAGCCAAAATAGTCATGGGTGTCCAACCTGTATCCCATTGAACTGGTGGTACTGGTGAATGACGTCATGCCTACAAGTACAATGATGGAGTCAAATTAGCATCGCCAACAACAAACAGCCTCGTCGCCCCGTGATAGAGCCTGATTTATGTACACATGCAGGGCTGTACAGTGCGACATATATGTCGCACGTGCTACGAAAAACCTGGTCTGTGCGATGAATAAATTTACCAATGCCGCAATTATGACTGGTTTTGTGGTCCAGGGTCACATTTATCATTGCTTTGACACAATCTGTATTGTAAAAAGCACTGTACAAATAAAGGTAATAAACGATTCTACTACAGTTTCTGTGAATACTCGATGTCTTTTCATGTGAAATCCAGTATAAGGGAGTAAATAACTCAAATGGGGTTAATACCAGTGGTACAATGACGAACGTCTTCTTACTTGTGCAGCTGACAGTATCTTTAGTGTTGAGGGTTTTGTTGCATTGCTGGCACAAAGCTGGATGCAGCAAGCTTGACGTGCTGAACACGTGTCCATTCACTGATTTCTTCTCTCTCTCTTTGGCCTCTCGCTCTTTCTCCCGATTCTTTTCCTTTTCTTTTTCCTGTGCCAGAAAAGGAATAAGAAATATTACAACAGGCGACAGCTGTTAAGATTAGTGCTCAAATATGCCAAGCACCGTAATGGCCCATCGTAGCTACTTTAGTTTAAACCCATTAACTTGAATTGCTCATCGTTTTCTTTAATAGCATTTCTGCAAAGTAATTTACTGCACCAACCTGTCGTCACGTTCCAAAACAAGGTACTTGTTTGCCATTACTCAAATTTACAGGACAAAATTTGAAAGGATGAGCACCCCAGACACACAAAAGGACCTTAGTTGGCAGCCCTATTATCCACAGCTGACAACAACCCTGCTCGTTTGTGTGATATAGTAAAAAATTTAAAAAGGTACAATGTCATTTCAAACTGAGGGCATTTTCATTGTGATTCAGACAGTTGTGCACATACATCCTCTTAACTGTTGTCAAGTTCTCCTGTAACAAAGTTCAGCTTCCTTAAATTAAATTAAATTAAATTTAATTTAATTTAATTTAATTTAATAATTAGTGAACCGTAGCTCTCAAACTCCAAAAGCAAGTGCCATTAGAGCTGGGTGATATAGCTAAATGTATCTCTCAATATTTGGACAATATTGATATATACTGATACTTTTCCTTTGTCTCTCGAAAAATTTAAAAAGGTAATTTTTTGCCCCCATGAAAAGACATGATCTGGATATCTTGATCTGGAACAGCTATTTTTAAAAAGTACAAAGTTACACAATATTCCTATAGTAATTTCATATAGTCAGCAAATAATTTTTTTTTACCAAAACCAAAATTAATGTTTTCATGAAAACTGAAACCGAGAATAAAATGTTGGTAATTAAATTTGTGTAATTAGGTAATGAACTAAAAATGTTTTTCAGGGTGTCATGTTCTCATTAGGTGATAAATTAAGTTTTTTGTCAACAAGCTGGCTCTCTATATTTCAGCTGAACAAATTGTACATATTGCTACTCTAGCTTCATTTTTGGTCATGGTGAAGTGCGTTCACACTGTTGACATGTTTACTTGTTGTTGTGTACATGAAATAGATGGCGATACAATCAAAATGCATCATTAAAGAAATGCTAATTAAACATCACTGTTTTGGTCAATGATTTCAGCTTCAATTATTTTGGTCAAAACTGAAAATTTGTTTCGATTGCATATTTTTGGTACATGACTACATATGATAGCGCTCTTTTATTATATGGAGGATCAGACTGACATTTTTTTTTACTTATTAACTGAGGAAAAATATATTTGAAAATAATGTGCATTATTCAATTTTATATAACATGAAACACCAAGTTTCAAATAGATATTTTGAAAGTTATGCTTTCAAACTGAATTTTTTTTTTTGGGTGAATTATTCCTGAGTTGAAAACTGATCCAGAAAATGTATTGCTCTATTTGAGGGACAGGTTTCAAAGGTGACTAGCATATTTCATCTATCTCCACATCTACTGCGAATCACAGGACATCATCTAGGGACGAGATGCTGGAGGTTACTATACTGAAGATGCTATTATCCAGTTCTTACTGCAACTTACTTATGATGTCCTCCTCATCACTAGATGAAGAGGTGACAGCAAAGACAGTTTTAGATTTAGGGAGGATCGGTGAGAGGTTGAAGGTAAAAGAGATCTGCCTCTTTCGCCGAATCCTTCCTATCACTGGGCAGCCGCATTGGGGATGGAAAAGTCAGAGCAAGTACTTATTAAACCAGATGATTTAGGGGCCTGAGAAATGGGTGGAGGACAACTAACACAAACCAGATGAGGAAAACAAATCATGTTATAATGGTACCACCTGTTCGCGTACAACCTCTGAAACAAGGAATTAATTAGAAAAATCCGGTATACTGACAGCAAAAGATGTTTCTAGCAAAAAATCTGTTATATAAGCAATCTCTAGAAGCCAGAAACTGAGAAAAGAAATGGAAATAAAGCAGCTTTACTTACCATCTATGTCCCGTTGGCTGATGGAAAGCATAGAGACTGATTTTGTGAGGGGGAGAGTCACAGATGGACCGCTGTGTCTGAACTGATGATACTTCCTTGATTTCTGAAATCACAAACTCAGATGCTCAGTGATAAAGTTATAGAAGTACTATCAGTTCGTTTCATGTTGGCTTCAAGTAACCATTTCAAATGGTTTCTGTATTTTAACCCAAATGTCCTGATTTGGAGAAGACAGATCTTGTCTCACCTGAACAGCTGGACTGCTGCATTCTCCCAAATCAGATTCAGGACCTTCTTCTGTGAGAGACATCAGTGAGCCCCTCTCCTCACTTTCCTGCCTCTGAACCCCTCGCTGCTCCGTGGATGGACCTCCGGACTGCGGTATCCAACGTTTGCCATCCTCAATCCCTGCTGCTAGACCCTCCAAACTATAACTACAACAGAACACATCATAAAGAACCAAGTTACGCTAAGAAAGAAAAAAAATAGAAAAAATAATTATAAAAATAAATGCATAAATAAAATTTAAAATAAATAATTATATAAAATATAATATAATAATACATAATAACAATTAAAAATAAATTATACAAATAAATTATAAAAAATAACAAATGACAAAAATTTATAGAATGTAAAAAAACAAATGAAAGAAAGAAAGAAAGACTTCGAGAGTCACCTTATTTAAAGTGATACAAAAGAAAGCAAAGCTGTGCGGTACATACTGTTTTGCAGTGTTGGGGAAAGTTACTTTTAAAAGTAATGCATTACAATATTGCGTTACTCCCTGAAAAAGTAACTAATTACGTTACTTAGTTACTTTTTATGGAAAGTAATGTGTTACGTTACTTTTGCGTTACTTTTCAAATCTGGGCAGGGCTTGCTTGTTTGTTTTTAATATAAAAAAACAAATGTAAAAGCCCTTTCACAACAAAAGTGAAATGAATACGCCTCAGGGTGAAGGAAATGTAAATTCACGTCTGTACAGTGGAGGGCGCCGCTCAAACAAATCGCATGAATATGACGCAGGAAATGAAAGTTCAACATTATTCAGCAATAACAAAAATGATACACAAATGATACACATAAAGTGTCATTTTTGCTTAGTATGGATGAATTGGATCATCGAAGATCAGTAGCAAAGACATTGTTTTTTTGTCTTATACATTTATGTTTAAGACATGTCCATATTTATACATGTCCATATACATTTTTAATGGATGGGCGCTTTTTATTTAACTTCTTTTGGACTGATGCATGCAACACCCGCTGAGTGGCATTAAACAGCTTGAAAGATCAAAGACTAAACAAAGATTAAAATTTTTAATATAACTCCGACTGGATTCATCTGAAAGAAGAAAGTCATATACACCTAGGATGGCTCTGGGGTGAATAAAACATAGCCTAATTTTCATTTTTGGGTGAACTAACCCTTTAAGCCATTTCTTTTCAGTCTAGCACACGAAAATAGTGAATTTCACCAACAGAATGGCTGCTGTTAGTACGAGACACCAGGACTGATCTTAGAAGCAATGCCATAGACAAACTAAAAGCTCAAATCAGCACACTGAACAGCACAATAGCAAACCAAGCCAAAGTGAGAAGTGTTTTGGGATGCTAAATATATATGTGAACATACAGGTGGCTAGAATATTTCCAAATGTGGAAATCTGAATTGTATCGAGATCACAATTATTTGAAACCTCAAAATAAATAAAAACTGAATAGTTAAAAAAAATAAACACTACACTGTACAAAAGTGAAAATGATGATTATTTCTTACTGATCTGTTATTTAAAAATAACTTTCATTGGTGTTACCTATTGTAGTCATGTCAAATCAGGCATATTAAATATTATTTTACATTTCGGTGCAACAATCTGAAGCAGGTTTGTTACAAACATCCGCTTACCTGACATTCAGACCAGTTTCGAGAACAACAATGTTAGTCATCATGTAACAAACAACAAAAGAATCTACAACAAAAAGTACACCGCAAAAAGCAGCACCTCCTAAGTATCTCTGCAGGAACACGTCTAACTTTTAAAAGCCATCATTTATCTAAGCTTTACCGAGGCTGACTGAAGCAGCACAGAATAAGGGCCTAAACAAACGCTTCACTTTGCTCTGACAAACAGGTAATGCAAATGATGATGCAAAAGCTCTTTGTGCTAGTCGGAGGGGTTGGCTCTTCGGTTGGATTTACAGGAAGCTTGCACACAACGCAGTCATACACTCGCAGTACCTGATGAGCGCTCTAATTTCTTCCAGCTCTCGACAGGGTTCAGTGGGGCACCAGCTCAGACTGGCCAAAATATAGGGGGCGCCAGTGGGCACAAACCAGATAGAGGAGTAGTAGAGTGGAAAAACGAGCATTTATTCAGTAAACAGTTTGATGAAAGATACTGGGTTGATTATTACACTCATATAGATCGCAACAGTAGGGTTCCAGAAGTTAAAATCTTCTTAAAATTTAAAATTTTAATTAAAATTTTCTCCATAGACGCTTCTTATTTTTTGGGGGGGAATGGGTGGGGGGCAAAAACATATTTAAAAAATATATGGGTTTAATTGCCATTGCCAGTACTGTAATTTATGCAACACTAGCATGGAAATTAATAATATAAAATCTACTTAATATAAACTAAAATACATATACATATAAAATATATTTAACAGAAAATAAAATATACAAAATATAAATTATATTTAATACATAAAAATGAATAAATAAATTGTAAACAAATAAATTATAAAAAAATAAGAAATTAATTATAAAATAAACAAATGATTTAAACAAATAAACAAACAAACAAACACATACATACATACTGGGTTCATTAACTGTAGGGGGAAGTATGGAGAAAATGAATAGCTTTTTTTACTTCTGGCAAAAATATACAAAAAATTGGGTTTCATTGCCAAATTCTCATTAATGTGATTTATGCAGTGCAATGCATGGAAATGGGAATCACTGTTGCACTCCATATGGATTTCAGATACTAATGAACATCTTAAAATAAAGAATATAAAAGAAAATAGGATACCTTCTTCTGTAAAACACAGGCTTTTCCTCTCCGGTACTTCGTACAGAACTGGAAGTGGAAAGATGATGAGAGGGATGAGATGACATGAAAATACGAAACATTTAAACTATTATGACTTCAAAGATCTGTATAATAAGAGTCTATGAAAGGTAAAAGTGAAACTAGCAAAGTATGGAATTACTTCTCGAAAAACAGTGAATGCAAATGAATAACAAAAGGAAGAGCGAGGTGAGAAAAAGCATGCAAAGGCATGAGGGTGTGAGCGATGTCATTCTCAGAGCATGTCATGTGTTAGTGTGTTGTGTTTTAGGTGCTAATGCATTAGCATTCAGTGTGTTCTGAGAGGGAGCGAATTCAGTGCATCAAAACCTGAAAACCCAAATACATTTTGGGCAGGCGTGTGTGATAAGATGTAAATTTCCATCTCATTCCTTTACTATATTGCTGTTGCAGTTATAAAGTTATAAATGGAATACAAACCCCTTATTTAAAAAGACTTGGTAACACTTTACTCATATACACACATATACATACACTCTACCATTCAAACGTTTAGGGTAAGGACTTTTGTTAAAATAAATTAATACTTATATTCAGCAAGAACACATTAAATTGATCAGACATGACAAGATAAAAGCTATCTATTTCAAATAAATGCTGTTCTTTTGAATTTTCTATTTATCAAAAATATCCCCCCAAAAAAAGTATACATTTCCACAAAAATATTAAGCTATCCAACTATTTTCAAAATGTATATTATGGGAAAATAATTCTTAAGCACCAAATTAGCATATTAGAATGATTTCTAAATGACTATGTGACATTGAAGACTAAAAGTTCAACATTTAAAAAAATATTAAAATAGAAAACAATTATTTTAAACTAAAATAATATTTCACAATTTTACTGCTTTTTTCCTGTATTTTTAAACAAATAAATGCAGCCTTGGTGAGCATAAAAGACTTAAAAAAAAAAAACATAAAAAATAAATAAATTAAAAGATAAAAAGTCTCACTGACCCTAAACTTTTGAGTTGTAGTCTGTCTGCATATCCTTTGTTAGGACCATTACAATTACAGTATTACAATTAAGCACACTACACTTTATATGTCTAATTTCACTACTGTAGAAAAAAAAATCGTCATTTTTTAAAAATTAAGAATTATCTTTTTTATTTATTATCATCATTATAAATTAAAACCAGTACAACAAATACTATTATGACGTTTAAATATACAATTTTAAAAAATGGTATTTTAATTGATGTACTGAGAATCAGTTTTCACAGAGCAGAAAAATATTAATGTTCCTAAGAATAAGCTTCTATAAGCATCAACACCTCGTCACGTACCTGCGCTGGTTCATTTCTTCTTCCCCTCCCTGGTTCTTCCCAGGACCCCAGCTGTGTCTGCGTAATGGAGAGAGTGAGCGTACGGTGGACCGGAAGAGAGAGGCAGGCAGCGGCACCTCCGTTAGCCTGTCTTTGGCCTCCTCTTCTGCCTCTCCTCCGTGCCGCACCTCCTCAGAGCTCTCGGCTGAGGAGCTGGGATGGCCGACGCTAGCCGTGTCGTCTGTGGAGGAGCAGGAGACGGACACCTCGCTCGTGCTGTCGCCTCCACCTACAGCCTCCTGCCCCTGAGCAAGAAACACCAATCAGACACAAATTAACTGACAGCCTTTTGTTCAGACAGATGAAAAATTATTCAGCACAACAATACTACTGTGCTATAAAACCTGGCTATGTCTCGTCGATGATAATTGGAAAGTGTGCAAAAGAGAGGAAAAAAAATGTTAAACTTAAAAAGCTCAAGCATTTGTTCTGCCAAAAAATGCTATTGAGAGTATTTAAAGTCCCCCTGTGGTCAAATATTTTATCCCTTAAAACTTATCTTTGATCATCAAAATGACAAATTTAAATGTTTTTTCTTGTGAAAATAATTTTCTCATGCCTTAAAATCTCTTGAATGTAACTCTACACCCTTGCCTCATTTACTATACGCGGATCTATGAATATGCAAATTAGTCCCGCCTCCACTCAGTCACAC